TTTTTTTTGCCTGTTCTGCTTTGTCAGGTATTTACAGGAGAACAATACATATTCAGGGATTTAAGAGAGAGAGTTAGGCTGACTAAATTAGAAATGGTTACTTACCAAGCTTTGTTCTTTGAATGTGTTGCCTCCACAGATCTACACTAAAACAGTGTACCCTGTGCCACACACAGCAACAAGAAGTTTCAAAGCAATTAGCCTATAGGAGTGTGTGCATGAGAGCCTCCCACACAATTGCCCTCAGTTCCTTTTTAACCATGGACACATCCTTTAAACTTCCAAAACAGAAGGGAGCTTGTACTTGTGTTACAATAGTGGTTGCATTTCCTCAGTGAGGACATCTTTAACTATTCAGGTTGGTCCTCCCAAGCCACCAACTTCTCAGGTCCATTGGGACTAAGGCACATCCAACTAGCCCTCGCAACACAAGTCCGTCTAGACACAAGCTTATTCTTTCCACCGCTCCACCAGTCAGGTGAGCTCTGTGTCTATCTAGATCAGGGGTAGGCAACCTATGGCATGTGTGCCAAAGGCAGCACGCAAGCTGATTTTCAGTGGCACTCACACTGCCCGGGTCCTGGCCACTGGTCCAGGGGGCTCTGCATTTTAAATGAAGCTTTTTAAGCATTTTAAAAACCTTATTTACTTTACATACAACAATAGCTTAGTTATATGTTAGACTTATAGAAAGAGACCTTTAAAAAATGTTAAAATGTGTGACTGGCACGCGAAACCTTAAATTAAAGTGAATAAATGAAGACTCGGCACACTGCTTCTGAAAGGTTGCCAACCCCTCATCTAGATACTTACACAGTCCTCATTACCACAGTTGAGCAGTTTAGCAGCAGCAGAGGACTGATTTGAAGAAAATGACGCGGAACTATTACTTCTCATCAACAGTAAGAACACAATCTATCTGCAATGCAAGAAGCCAACAGAGAGCACCAAAGTGAGACTTCGGCATGCAAAAACCGAGATAACAGTGAGGAAGCAGATGCTGTTCAAATCATTACTGGATCAAGCTCTGTGAAGAGATACAGACAGCCTCAGACACAGGAAATCTCAAAGTCATCTATGACAGCCTGAAGAAAGTTCTAGGTCTCACTGTCAACAAGGTTACTCCTCTTAAATCACACAGCGGTGAAATCATTACAGATAAAAGCAAGCAGTTCTCATTGGGTTGAACACTATTCAGAGCTATATGCACAAGAAAGAATCACCACCAGCGAATCGCTGGACCAAATACCACCAACTCTATAGATCATGTCAGAACTAGATGTGGAGCCCACTGTAGAAGAGCTAAGCAAGGCCATTGATTTGCTATCAAATGACAAGGCTCCTGGAAAAGATGTCATCCCAGCGGAAATCCTCAAGTGTGGAAAAAGACAGCCTGTTACCATATCTTCATCAGCTGCTACTTAAATACTGGAAAGAGGGTGAGGTACCACAAGAGATGCATGACGCAAAAAATCACTTTGTACAAAAAGGGCAACTGCAACAACTACAGTGGTATCTCGCTACTAAGCGTAGCAGGAAAAACTTTCACAAAAGTCATCTTAGTGAGCCTACAACAGCTGGTAAATCATGTCCACCCTGAATCAGTTTGGATTCAGGGGTGCAAGATCAATTATAGACATGATATTTTCTCTGCGTCCACTCCAAGAAAAGTGCAAAGAGCAAAACCGACTATTGTACATCGCCTTTGTGGACCTACCCAAAGCATTCGACAAAGTCAGCAGAGCAGGTCTATTTGCAATACTAGAAAAGATAACAGGGTTGCGGGACATGCTAAGTCTTATATGTTCATTCCACAACAACAGGAGAGCAACATGTCCAGGTTGACGGGTCCACTTCAGACAGCTTTGAGATGAAATGCGGAGTGAAGCAAGGATGTGTTCTTGCCCCTACACTCTTTGGAATCTTCTTCTCATTACTCTTGAACTGCATGTTTAAGGACATGAAAGATGGAGTGTATCTACACACAAGGTCAGATGGGAAACTCTTCAATCTGTCCTGACTTAAGTCAAAGACCAAAGTCAAAAAGGTGCTAATCAGGGAACTTCTATTCGCTGATGATGCTCCCCTCATAGCCCACAATGAAGATCTATTAAAAGAACTCAGACTGCCTTTCAAGTACCTGTCAGACATTTGCTCTCACCATCAGTATCACGAAAATGGTTGTATTAGGACAGGGGTTTCCACAAGATCCTTCAATTACCTTAAATGCAAACCAGCTAGAAGTAGTCCAAAAGTTCACTGTAGAACCTAAACAGCTGATCACCAACCTCTCACTAGATGAAGAACTAAATGTTCACATTGGAAATGCTGCCACCACCTTTAGCAGACTAACTAAAAGAGCAGGAGACAATTCAAAGCTTACCATCAAGACCAAAATGCTAGTGTACCAAGCTTGCATCCTCAGCACTCTTACATATGGTGGTGAAACATGGACATTTTATACTCACCAGGAGAAAAGGTTGAACAGTTTCCACCTACATGGTTTACACCGCATACTCAACACCAAATGGCAAGATGAAGTCACCAATGCAGAGGTTCTTCAAAGGGCAAATTTACCAACTTTGACAGCCCTACTCAGGCAAAGAGGACTACGCTGGCTGGGCCATCTGAGTGGGTTGGAAGACGGATGCATACCCAAGGACATGTTATACGGGGAGCTATCAGAGGGAACAAGAACAACAGGGCGTCCCAAGCTTCACTATAAAGACACATGCAAGCGAGATAAGGAATTTGGAATTGATCCTGACTAATGGAAAATCTTGACAAGTGATGGTAACAAGTGGCGCTATCGTCTCCATCGGGGTATCAAAGTCCATGACAGGAGTTGACTCCGACAGCTTGAAGAGAAAAGGAAGCAAGCAGCACCCAACCAAGATATATACATTTGTAATAACTGCCAAAGGTCATGCAAATCTCAGATTGGCCTATTCAGTCACACGAGATATTTCAAACCATCTACATCATAGGCTGCAATTCCCATGGTCTCTCGCAGATGAAAGGATGCCAACAACATTACCATCGTTGAGCAGGTTATCAGCAGCAGAGACTATATCAGAGCCCATGCTTCCTCACCAACACTCCCAGAGCCATAAGCCCTTGTGATTAATGTTTGTATAATGAAAAACACCAAGACAGACCCTGTGGTACCCTTCTCTTCAGGCAGAGAAGCAATTACTCACAATTACCCTACATGGCTTCATAGAAAGTTGACCACTATCCACCCTTGCTAGGATGTGCAGATGGGTCAGAGCCTCATGCACTGATATCAAAGGCTGCTGACAGATCTGAAAGAACTAAGGGTGAATTCCGTGTCCCACTGAAGTCAAGCAAAATTCCATGACTTCAATGGGGCCAGAATTTCATTTAGAAGATTTTGTCCACTGCCAGGATGAGAGCACTTAAACCAGTGCAGTTTATGCCATAGCCATGCCTATAACCAGTGGGTCTCAAACTTTTTTTTTACTGACAATCCTTCACATCGCAAGCCTCTGACTGTGAACCCCCTAATAAATTAAACACCATTATAAATACTGGAGGCAAACGGGGTTTGGGGTGGAGGTTGACAGCTCACGACCCCTTGTGCAATGACCTCGCGACCTCCTAAGGGGTCCCGACTCCCAGTTTGAGAATCCATGCTATAACCTGAGTGACCAGGATTAAGGATGCCTGAAGACTTCAAAAATGGCTAGAGTTGCTAAGCCACTACCTTTTCAATAATCTTTCAAAATTAAATAAAAGCAGGAGGCTGAAAAACAGGTCTATAATTAAGACTGTCAGCAACAAAAGTTGGTTTTCTGAGCAGAGGCCTCCACAGCTCCTATGACAGTGAGCCATCTAGTTGAGACAGTGAGAGATAGAGATACACTTCCCTACTTCATCCTATTTATCAAAATGGCCTTGAAATCTGAGTCAGTGTGGAAAGGATAGCTTAATTCATGGGAGCAGATGGAATCATACAAGGATAAAATGTAGAGGGAGAAGGGGACTAAAAACAACAGCCTTGAGGGGCTCTTGAAAAAGGGAAGCAAGATATGAAGGACAGCCACCAGAAGGGAAAGCCGGCAAAGAGGCAGGAATTAAAATGAAACATCTTAATTATCTAATGCAGAGCTGTACCTGAAAGGTAAAAGCAAATTTGTAATTGGTGTCCTGATGTAAAGGGATAGCAAAGAAAGCATCAGCCAGATGCATCTAAAAAAAATTAGCTACACTCAATCATGTGAAGAATAACTTGATTTAGTTTTACTAATACAGTACAAAATACCTTTTAAAAATGAATTCTTCTCCTAGCTTAAAACAGTGTATTTTTTCCTATAGCATTATTTTAAAAACAAACTATAAAAGAAAAATCCTCTTCACATTTCACAAAGACAGTTCTGTCATCCTAAAAACTACATATGTCCAATACAGATCTAGCAAATGAAGTCAACAGAACACTGTTTTTAAACTCTGCTTGGGGATTCAGATATTCTAAATTATTTATGTACAGTATGTAGATTCATAGATTCTAGGATTGGAAGGGACCTCAAGAGGTCATAGAGTCCAGTCCCCTGCCCTCATGGCAGGACCAAATACTGTCTAGACCATCCCTGATAGACATTTATCTAACCTACTCTTAAATATCTCCAGAGATGGAGATTCCACAACCTCCCTAGGCAGTTTATTCCATTGTTTAACCACCCTGACAGTTAGGAACTTTTTCCTATGTCCAACCTAAACCTCCCTTGCTGCAGTTTAAGCCCATTGCTTCTTGTTCTATCCTTAGAGACTAAGGTGAACAAGTTTTCTCCCTCCTCCTCATGACACCCTTTTAGATACCTGAAAATGTGTAATGTGTTGTAATTCTTCTACTATCTTTCATACAGCATTATGACACTTGCTGCAATTGTGTACTATTTAGAAGAAATGGATTCTTGAGATTATCCAACAAAGGAATTCATGCTGAAATTGGAAGATCACCACAAGAGGAAAAGCTAGCATAAGTTTGTAATTTCAAGTTTTATTTTTATATTGGTGAAACACAGAACCTCTTCCAAAAGAGGCAGCATCTGCAGAGCTGTTACAAATACGCTTCATACTCTAATACACCTCACAGGTTTGGAAAAGGTATGGATAAAGCAGTTTCACACTGTATGAACATTTTACACTGCATCTGGGCATACAAATTCAGTCATATTAAAAGATAATTTATAGATCATCTGACTTCACATACAGTGGATAATATTTCAGCATCTTCATGCAAACTTACTTTTGTTTTTAAATAGTTGGCATCATTTTTGGAAATAATTTTTCATACTGCAAGACAGTATATTTTCACTTTAACTTATTATTTAAACGATAAATTACAAAAAAGTACCAACTGTTTTGGAAAGTAGAAACAAACATTAAATATATAATATAGACATATCTGTTTACAATTACATATTTACTAAAGGCAGTAACATTCCTATTACACTTTCATTACCTAAAATAGGGGAGAATAGACTATATAAAATAGACTTTATCTAGTTTTCAACCATAGCCATCTTTTCATATTTCAGTCTTGAAAGCAACATTGCAATCAAATATTAAATTTTTATTCTCTTTGATGCATACAAGTCCCTTTCATTTAAATGAGCTTTGCTTGCATAGTAAAGAATTTTTGCCCTTAACATTCCTTAATCAGTACACGAGTTTTAGCTGGAAAACCGCTATCAACATGGAAGGAATTGTCTAGCTAAAACCTCACCATAATACTTTGAAAAATTAGTGGTTAGTGTCTAAAATTGTTTTTGGAAAACACAAAAAACAGATGCTACGAAAGTGCTTTGTTTCAGAAGTGAATGCATAGACTTGTAGCCTTATCTTAAACAACATGTTAGTGTTTTATCACTGGGGTAGTTTAAACAAAAACTGCTGTATTTTTTTGTCTTACTAACATATACAAGCACACTAATTTTCTTCACTTATGCATGTCACACTCCCCTTCCTCAGATATCCCAGGTTATGTGTAACAGGTAGCCTTAAATTCCCAGTGTAGTCAGTAAAGTTCTCCTCACACAAAAGTACATCAATGATATCCTACAAGAGCCCCTCTTCTAGAGCATAGTGTACGTCCATGAGCAGTCAAGGAGTCAGAAGTTATTGAGTTCATTAGAGTAAGCTACTCCAAGAGTTACATTTATTAGTACTGTTCAAAGGACAAGTTGCACATCTTCAAAGCCCTCTCACCAGTCTTGACAGAAAAGCAAAACATTCACACTTGCCAAATTTTATCTTTGATATTTTATATAAGTCAAGGTGTGCAAGCAAGCTTCCAATATCCATGTCCCTAGTATAATGTGACAATTAAAAAAAAACAACCCACACATGGGGAAAGTTCAGCACTAAAAAGGGTATTTTCAAACAACTTCACATTTCAGATCCAAGCTTCAGTCCATTACTACACAATTTGGACACACAGAACCAGTTTTTAAAACATCTATCCTAGCATAACAGACTAAAAGACTCATCAATGAGAGCTACTATCAACACTGTATGTCATACTAGCCTTGCCTGACCAATGTGGTACATATTCAAAGTTTGCACATTCTTTCACAACGTTCCTAAATCAGATATCAAAACTCAAAAGAGCTTTTTCACACTTGTACATTTAACAGAATTGTTTCAAGAATTCTCAAAATTTCTGAAATAATTTGATGGCTTAACATGGTAGAAGCCACAGTATTAGCATTTATACCTTGCTTCTGGTCTAATGCTCACTGCAATTTAGGAGTCATGGTGCTTCATGTACATCATGAATCCCCCCCTCCCGTCAGATTCTGGATGACTTCATCCTATAGTAGGCCTTCCTGGGTTCTTCTGTAGAAGTTTCTGCAGAATTGAAATCTTTGGTCACCTGTTAAGCATGGACTAGTCAAAATGGAGCAGTCAAATTTAGTTTGACCCTGAAGAATATACACTAGATTTTTGTGATGATTTACACTTAAGTTCTTCAAATAACTTTGATGGGTTATTAATGGGAACTTTGGGCCAAAGCTACAAAATGCAAAACAGACCACTTACTGCCTACATTATGCTTTAAATAATTGTAGAAGAGTACTGCTGATTCCAAATTCAAATCAAACAACTCAAATTTTTGAAGAACGGTGTTTTGAGATATTTCCAAAATGTTACCTTTCACTTAGATTTTTGCTGATTGCTTTTCCTGCAGAGGCTTTATATTCGGCAAACAGTCTTTTTTTTAAATTGATTATGGTTGGCTCCTTTCTCCTTTGCAATATGTACATTACAAACAGCATCTCAATCTGCATGCAAATGTAACACCAAAGATCTATTGAGAATATTGTTTCTTTAGATGAAAGATAGCCCCATTATTTTCCCATAGGTATCTGAAGAAACTTGCAAGATGGCTTCATATCAGTTGTCTTAGTATTTTCCACACCCTTTTACACTCCTGGATAATGCTTATAAAAAGAAGGCATTTAAAACAAATCCCTCTATAGGTTAAAAATGTTTTCAGAATAAATGGAATGGTTGACACCTAAGAGGCTTAAACTTGTGTAAAAATCTTATCTGGTAAAGAGTTTGTCTTCTTTATTCAGATACTCAATGTGCTAAAAACTACACCAAGATGAATAACCTTTAAAACTGCCAAAGTGGAAAGAAATCACAAACATGTTATAGGGAACCAGAAGAACCAGTCAAAATATTCTAGAATCCAATGATTTGAAACTAGTTGTTTCAATACTTCTCCCCAATCTAATTTATTTTATTTTAACCCATGTGCTTTTAGAGAAGAGACAATATTACTCAAATATTTCAATGAGAGGAAGGTAGTGCACTCAGGAAGTTCTTACCAGGTACGGAATGGAATCCAGAAATGCTTCAACAAGTGGTGGGCTATCATGCTTTTTTGTAATAGTACCCAAAAGCTGTCAAGTCTATATTAGCATTCCAATATCATGATTGCAATGAAGCACTGGTAATTCTGGTACCTTTGGATATGCTTAACATCCATAAACAGCAAGTCTGATATTATTTAACATTGAACATGTTTACAACTAGCATAGTCCACCAGAATATTCATCATCTTCCTCCTCAGCATGGGAGCCAACTGCAGCCGGTCCTCCTGCTTTGTCCTGTGCAGTAACTGGTGATTTCTTCTTAGTTCCCCCTCCTGGGACTGCCAGACTAAGAGCAAGCTTGGCATACTGACAACAACAAACAACAACATGACGACAGGTTTAGTGTCCACATTGTCATAGGGCCAAATCTTACTTGCCTTTCTCTAGAAAGAATCACACTGAATTAAATGGGACTACACTCATAAGTAAGGTGAGCAGGGTTTGCCTCAGTCTATTGACTGCACTCAAAATGCAACAATCCATTATTTTGTAACATTCTGTTCCAATAGCATAAAAAGAGACCTAATGCATGTACTATTCTCTCTGTGCTAAAGTGATTAAACATGTACTCTGATTTCTGCTTCTTTATAGAATAATCATTGCCGTGTTGCACAACACAATTGACTAGAAGTTTACGATAAGCGAGTCTCGTCAATGCAGTTTTTTTTTTAAATGTGCAGCATCTATTCACCACCAGATAAGTGGTCTTTTACAGAAGCTTTTTCAATCAAGATGGCATCATATTTTCAGATGTTAAAGTTATATTAGGTGAAAATTAATAAATATTGTTAGAAAACCTACACTAGGATGATCAGAAGTTTCTATTACTGCCTTTCTGTCTTAAGTCTTCTTTCTACAATTTGCAAATATGCAGGTTTTTTTTTTTTAAATAGTCAAGTACTTTCTTGAAAGGAAAAAAAAAAAAAGACATCTTTCTTTAAAATAGCAATGGCCATAGTAACTCACTGTAAAATTACAGGACCACTCTTGAGAATTGAGCAGTGCTTGCAACTCCTCTTGCTATCAATAAAAGAAAGTTGAAGGTGCTTAGCATTTCTCAGTGCCAGTCCATGGATTTCTAGCTAAAACGGACTTGCACGAATAGTACCGTATTTCTGAGCTGAAGCACTGACTGCAGAGTTTTCAGCCCATGTTGGGGACAGAAGGGAACTGAACTCAGATGCTATTCAAGAATATTCCAGCCAATTTTTCAGACAGACTTACGAATGCCATAAGAAGCTGTTCATTCATCTGACCCTTCCAGATAAGCGGGAAGATCAGAGGAATGTGGAAATTTACAAGTGGTGAGCAGTAAAGTGGAAAATATGAGAAGCTGGAGGATGGGACAAACATACAGCAACTCCAGTTTTTTCCTACCAAAACAGTTCTCTCTTTCTTACCAGGAAAAAGATTTATGAAAATCCATATGAAATGTTAACTTACATCATTGTCCATGTACTTGAAAAGTGGTGAGTTACAGACATCAGAAACTTGATCCTGGTCCTGGCTGTCATATCCTTCTAGAAGCTGTTCTAGTGCTGCACAATCTTCACTTCCATTGAATCCCGGTATACTAAAGGAAACGAAAGTTCATTTAAAACATTTAACTTGTCCACTCACAGCACTCAACTCTTTGTCTATGTTTACATGTCACTGATTAAGAGTAGAGGGACAGGCAGCTGTAAGGCTTGTTTATAAAATTTTATGGTATTGCTTAAATAGGTCTCAAAACCCAGGCTGAACAAAAATGTCTAATGGCGTGAAAATGTATTTTTGACTGTATGATCATCTAACCATGTAAATTATAAACAGATCTCAATTTTTTTTAAACGTTTAGTTGTCTGCTTGGGACTAGTTGTCTGCATGGTCCCAAATGATAGAAGTGCCTTAAATCTCATGAGTTTCTGTTAACTAGTCATAATATTTTTCTTTTACAGTGCATGTATGGAATCATAAGTGTTTGAGATTAGGCAGGGTAAAGACTTAATTTAAAATGGATCATTTTAACCTAACTCCAGATATCGTGCATTTTTTAAATTCTAGTCTTAAGATACCATTTTCTTGCCATTTTGTAACACAAAACAGTAAATTCAATTGGTGACAATCAAAAAAGGCCTTTATCAGTACTGAACAGTTACAAGAGCTAATCCTTCTCTGTTCAGTGTATGAAAGACAGATACTAAAATGAGGCACCACTTAAAATGAATAATTTTTTAGTAAAAGAATTCCAACAGCAACAACCCTGTATTGTTTATTCAGCTTTTATTAAAGCTAAGCAAACAGATAATCTGGGAAGAAAGAACAGAAAAGGGAAGAGTAGTGAACTGAACAAAATTCTTCTAGCTGTTTAATTTTTAAGCAAATAGTAAAGCAATATAAATATTTTCATTGTTTATTTTAAGGGTATGCATGTCTTGCTATTAAGCCAATAGTGTATTATTAACTACAACTGACCATTTGAAAAACAACAACAATATTTTTCAAATGGTACTCTTTCAAAAAAACAAAACAAAAACAAAAAAAACCACTGCATTGTTGTACCATAAACCAAACCAACAGAGTACAGGCTTCAAACCTGTGGAAATATAGAATTGCCACATGGCTCTTTAATAAATATTGCTATGAATTAATTTTCAACATAACCAAAATTTAAGTTTGAAAACAATGAGGCAAAAATATGCCTTACCTGTAACTTTCCCTGACACATCTTTCTGCAGCAACATAGTCATGTCTATGGAGATGAACTAAGACTTGAGCAATAGTTTTCTAAAATAAAAGAAATGACTGATCACTCTTTAGTAACCAAATGTAAGATATTTTACTTCTATTATGAATTCAATACCAAAAGTCCTGTAGCTTGCTCAGGATAGGTGTAAAAAGGACACTAGAATCAACGAGGCAGTCAATTGGTCTACACTGTTCCTGGCTCCACATTCCCAAATGAAAAAAAAAAATGATGGGCTCTGAAAATATTGATCTACTCCAGCTGTGGATCTGTCTCATCTTTTTTAAAGATCATGTAGAGGAAGAGATCAAAGTGGACCAATTCTGTTGTAACCTTAGATCATCTGAACCTAGGTTTACAAATTTAGAACTGAAAGACAAAATTATTCTAACAAGAATTTTGAAACCACAAACCAATGTTTTGCTTATGTTAAGCATATCTCGTCAGAAAATCCTATCAGTTGTCCAAAAAGTTAACCCATTCAAAATATCTAGCCCCACTTCCTGCCATCAACACACATTTAGAAAATAAATGAACATGTCTCCCATCCCACAAAAATTAAATAATTAATTCTTTGCGCTAACTGTATTTGCAGGTTCACCGACACAAATATTTTATCTTTTAGCATTTTCAATACAATTATCAGAAAGCTCTAAAAACCATTCTGATTATCTGTGATAGCTATCTTCAGCATTTTCAAGACTATTATACTGACACAAGACAGTTAAGGGGGTGGGTGAAAGGAGGGGATAGCCATTCAGGAGGTGCTCATCCAGTAAGAAGTTTATCCTGGACTGCAAGGCATACAATGCCATTCAGTTAGAGGTGCTGCAGACCCACAGGCCAATCAATTTCCCTTTGCGCATTTCTATTTTATAAACAGGAAAGAAACATTCACTCAGGTCTTTACCTTATAACATGTTGGATAATTTTCAACTTCTTTATAAATACTTTTTTCCTTCTGAATAGACAACGCAGCCTCATCTAATCTAGAAACAAGAACAAACACAGAAGGAAGTGTAAAGAAACCAGTGTAAAGAAACCAGTGATTAGAGCCTTATGATGTGCGTATTTTAATGTTTGTAGGTGGTAAAAAAGGCACAGAAGCTGTAAAGATATTTCAGTAGTCCACATAAAGCCTATAAAAAAAAAGTTAATATTTGCGTCTTCTAATCATTTTTTTTCCTCCATGCTGAAAAAAAGCCACCATTTTTGTTTAAATCCACTGGCATTAAGAATCAAAGTAATCTAAACACTAAGCCATCAAGTCTTTAAGTTTTCATTTGGTCTTCAATCTTGAGGGCATCACTGTAACATTTCAAAAGGTTAAAAAAAAAATACATCTTTCAGAAATCCTGTTATTTTTGAGTTGCCAGGTAAAATACTAGAGTGAAATCCAGAAATCAGTGCTTCAGTGTGAAAGCAATCAATGCCACATGCCAGTAAAGTTTAGTTTTATATTAATCAGAGCATCAATAAATGTATGTACTATACTTTTCTAGCATTTCTGTCCCTGTCATTGCCAGGTCCCAGACCTATGTGAAAACAAAAGCCATAATCTTTGAAGTCAACCCAACTCATTCAAGGAAGTCACAATCCAGTGAACTTTTTTTTTTTAAATAAAAACCCACAATTCATCACCATGAGTGTATCCAGAACTGCATAAAAGCAGACAGGGCTCAGTCCTGTAAAGAGCTGAGCTCTGGTCTAATCTGGCGTTTACATTCTTGCTGGATTCCACCAGGATGTTCAGCACTCTATAGGTGTAAATCCAAATAATGCAAAATAGAAAGGAAATGGAATATTTACTTGCAAATATCTTGGTGATCAGTTATGTTGAGTAAGGATCATTTCAGGCAGTGGAAGTGCACAGAGAGCTAATATTTCCAACCAAGCAGTTGTACATGCACATACTGTTGAAATATAGCAACTATTTTACAAGTCACAACATTACACTACAGCTTTTGGACAGGAAGTAAACACTGTATCCAATTGAAACTTCAGAGTAAATTTAGGTAGGAAGTACATCAAGGCTAATGACCCGAGAGTTCACACTGGATATTTGAGGACAGATGTGGTGAGGATCTTCATGAAACATCTCATCCAAAAGGTGACACCTTTAGCAGCACAGTATCAGCATCAAGCTGGAGCACTGGAAGGGACAAATGTCAGCTACTGAAACATCAATTTATCTGAGAATGTTTGGCACTATTCTGATTTTTTTTTTTTTAAATGAGACTCTCCCCACATACCTACAGTATAGATTTTAAACCACACATACACGCTTATAATCTACATAGAAAATTAATTAAACTCAAACTTTAGCGGGACTGTCCAAGTTCTCCATCCTTTTTATGCCTGAGGAATATATTTGCAATGTGAACACACATGTTTTTAATAAAAAGGACAAGAGTGGGTCTTTTCAGACAAAACAGTAGGTGATTTCAGGTTGCAAAAAACAACAATAATCCTGCCTAATACCCTGGAGACGCATTTTTAAAGTTTTGCATACATTTAAAATTTATCAAAGTACTTGCTAGTGTTTTGTAACATGGATGTAAAAAACATGCCATTTAAGAGAACTTAGGAACTCTACCTTCATGGTCTACTAATTTACATTTTTAAGCATAAAAGAATTGTTCGGTTTTGGAAAAGGCATGTAATCAAGAAGCACAGGATTTAAAGTTTCATTAGCCACTCTATTAGAGGTTCAGATTACATTTGTCAGCTATAAATCACTAACTTCATACTCGAATTAATCAAGCTATTTTGGATGCAAATTACTATAACTGAATGTATTAAGAACTTCACATGGCAGCTAAGGGATTCAATATATCTCACATAATTCTTGGCAATCATAATTCATTTCCATACCGAAGTTTTTCTTTCACTGAAACTCACAAAACAATCATTCAAAGAATATTGATATTTTAGACTACTACTCTTCTGACATCCACAGAAGTACAGTAGGACCTCCCTGATCTGCTCACACAAATTATGTCTAAATCTGCTATTGTGATTGATGATGAAAACACAACAAAAATATGCTTCATAACTTATTTCCACTTTAATTATATTCAAGTTACATGATGTTCCAAACCCCAAGTGACATCAGATACAACATGGCCTCTATAAATCAGTATGACAATCAAGCTAGCCTCAAAAACATTAATATACACATCTCACCTGACAGTCCTTCCACTCCTGTAATATAAGGGTTTTCCTTGTTTCCTTTTAGATTACCATTGTTGCTCGCAATTACAGCACACACTCAAGGCTTGACTCAAAGACAGCCTTATAGTGAGCTATAGGTTGTAGTTATGTATGTTTATGCTAAATCATGGTAAAATTTGGTACTACTAACCAATAGTATTAGAAAAAACAGGTGAACCTGAGGATTCAAAGTCAAACTCTTCACCCTTGATTCAGAATCAGACACCTGCATATGGGTTGCTTTGGTTGGGTAAGTCACTTAATTCCCCTACTTTAGATTCCCTCATGTGTAAATTGGGTAGAATATTAAGTGCTCACTACCCAGTGTTGTGAGGAATAATTCACATTGATGAAGAACTGTAGAGATGAAGCACACCAGGTTCTCAGTAATTCATAAATCTTCACTGAATTATTAGGAGGAACATTTTATAGCACCAAAAAACAAAACAAGAAAAATCACAGATGAGTTTTTCAGCACTCAGGTATAGCCAGCAGAAACGTAAACTGGATCTTAGTCTTGACAAGCATCAACATAATCTTCTGTTTCCAAATAGTGACTTTTGAAGAGGCAGTACGTAGATTCAGTGAAACTCAGCAGTAAAGACTTCAATTATATTTAGAGGAAAACTTAGGTTTTCAGAATATAAAGAGTTATACCTTCGTCCTCTGACTAAAAGTCTTGAGGCTTTCCCTAGTAATTCTACAGCCTGCCGTAAACGTTCTTCATTCTAAAGGAGCAGAACAAAATCAAAAGGTTTTATACATTTGTGGCTTTAATTCTATGCAACTTCTCTTTTTTTTTAAAATGAAATACAAACATAAGGCATGAGCTCAGGTCAATGCAGGTTTCTCCCTTGGCCTTAGTACTTTTAGTCAGCAGAGCTCCCTCCCTCTGGACTGCCCAAGAAGTGGGAAGAAGCTGGATAGGAGATTAAATTCAGATCCTATATAGTGGGGGATGGAGTATTGGTAGGGACTCTGACCCTGCACCTTTACATTAAAGGTCCCAATAGGAGCTGCGTGACTTCCTGTGCAACATTATTCACCCACTGCTGTGATAGAGAACAAGATAGAGCTCAAAACTCAACCTCACCTTACAGCTATCTGTGTGCAGAGTTATTTTAGGCTGACTAACCTTGAACACTTCTTCCTTCTAACTCAATCTTTATTTCCTTTGTTGTTCAAATTAAAATGGTAGTACTTACTTCGAACACTGATGCTGTCTGCTGATAGAGTTGTACAGCCTTTTCTGGGTTCATACTTTCTATTAGCCTGAAATAAATACAAGCCAGCATTATTATTCTTCAGCTCAAATAGTAAAGTTTTCTCCTAGTACAGGATTCAAACAACAGTCTGTAAGAAGAAAGCACCAATGTTTTGTGATTTGTCCTAGCTACCAATGCTGCAGGCTTACTTTCCAGCCCGTTCCAGGGCAATAGCTGCTGTGTCAGGTGTTCCATTCTCCAGGTACATCATACTGGCCTTCTCAATCAGCTGAACTGCGTCAGGAAGTTTTTGCATCTCCTGTAAGAAAAAGTTGGAAGAATAACAGTGTCAGGAACTATGCTAATATATAAACAGACCAAATGAAAATATTCTGTATTGCATAGCGTTACATTGGTAGAGTTCAGCTCCCAGCAAAGTAAACTACAACATCCACAGTACAAACAAGCATACCAGAAACCCAGCCTACTTTCCCCTCCATCTGCCTATAATAAATCAAAAAAGTTGGCTGATTTTGTTCTTTGGATTAGCCACATGATGAAATATCTAAATGAATACTCACACAGTGCAGTTACAAAACCAGAGCAGCCAGTCTTGTTTCCCTTTGTAACATTTCAATTTTGGAATAAATAAGTCAGTTCCCTGGTAGCCCAACTTTACAATTTGTTTAGAGGGCACATCATCAGAAGTGGACATATATACAGAATTTTTGGAGTACTTGATTTGAACCCTGAAATAATGATTCTCTGAAAGTCTGTTTAACTGATCAACATCTGGGTTACAAGTTCACTTTGAGTTCCCTAAAAACTGGCTTATGGTGGTTAATTAGCTTATTTTACTATACACTGATTTTCTATCCCCTAAATGAGGTTTTCAACTATTGGTTAAACCCATTCAATAAACTGCACAGCTATCAAGTCATTATTGCATGCAAAAAATCACTAACAGGATTCTGGCAAATGTGATTAGAAAACTAATTCCTGTTGACTACAAGATTTATGTTGAGCTAAAGCAGAAGGGCTAAGGTATGGGAGTCACCAAGAACTACAATATGTCAGCTTACTGAAGAATCAGGAGGTATATAATGGTGGTCTGTTAATGCCTTAGTATGTTAAAAATACCATTTAAAAATACCATCCACAGTGCTTGCGTTGAAACTATAGGATATTCCACTCATAGCACCAAGATTGGTTTGATGAAAACAACAAGGAAATCCTAGCATTAATTCAACAGAAAAGAACTGCATTCTGGCACTGGCAAAATGATTCCTCTAACCAACGAAAACATGAGGCTTATCACCTGCTCAAGGCAGCAGTCCAGAGGAGGCTACGTGACATCAAAAATAAGTGGTGGCAAGAGAAGGCCTCTGAGATCCAGAGTTTCATAGACCAAGATGACATGAGAAGCTTCTTTCAAGCAACAAAAGCTATATATGGGCCAAGCTCCAAAGGCCCAACCCCCTTACGTTCACAGATTGTCCTTGAAGAGGGTGGAGCCAATGCGGCCATTAAACAACGCTGGAAGGAGCCCTTGAAGAGCCTACTAAACCGTGAATCCACGGTCTCTGAAGACCCCATCGAGTCTATTCCACAACGCTCAGCAATGGCACACCTTGCTGATCCCCAGTTTTCTGAGAAAGTCCGGTGTGCCATCACCCAGACAAAAAAAAAATCACAAGGCACCAGGCCTAGACAGCATCCTGCCCCTTTGAGGGTGTCTCCCCAGTAAGTGACAACAGGACACAATATTATTTACCTGAACTAAAAAATAAGCTGCTACTATGAAGTACATTTCTCTTTTCTTAATACATACATAATAAACTCAACCTCCCCCCCTCCCGGTTTTGATTTATTAAGTTTCAACCAGGAAAGAAGGTTGCATCATTTAAAATTCTTAGGGGGAAAAAAATAAATGTCAACACTGGAAGTGCTAGCACCACTTTAACACTAATGCTGCAAGCTGAAAATTGCATGTATTTTAAAATACAACTGTCCACAGGAGACTTATTGTTTTAAAACAAAAACACAAAGTGACCAGTAAATACCTTTAACATCATGCCAGCTTGTTCATAAGCTCTGCAAAGAGAAAAGAAATTAGGTTTACTTACAGTGTTATTTCAGTGAGTTGAAGTGACAGGTCTTGCTATGTAGCAAGAGTTACTATACATCAGCTAATGGTGAATCATAACAATGCATACATTTCAAACATTTTACATGTCTTATTTAAAAAGACAGTTTCTCACTTGTGCGCTAGTGATAGATATTGCAACCTCGCGCTGTATCTTTGGGGACCACTTTATTACGTTCATGAATCGTTTATGTATGATTGTATTCAACTCCATGGAGGAGCAGCTGTGGTAACACGTCAGGAACTAAAAACAGTGGACAATGATTAAGGACAGTCACTAATTCTGTAAGCAACTCTAAAGACATACCACCCCCAGTGGTAGTTTGTATATACTGATTCAAACTGGGTTTTCCAGACACTGAGAAACAAAGAAAGAACTTTTGATATAAATAGCTGTGTTTGTATCAGGACCTTCTTTTGATCTAGCAAACAGACATGCTTTTATCCAATGGGGCTCCAATCCTGCTGAAGGGTTGGAAGAATGATGGCCTACCAGAGCCTGGAGTGGACCACAAATTGGGGATAAAGATGCAGTAATCCTGAGACCGTAACAGTGTTGTCTTCTATGGATAAAGTGCTTTTGACCATATTTGGAGCACTGAAAAAGCAGTGTTTCCCAACCCAGACCAAAGATACCTTCCTGCTTCTATAACATGTACTGTGTGTGGCAAATTTTGCACCAGTGCTTCAAATTAATCACACAATCTTTTCACTATTTGCCATGAGTTGGAGGAATGGGAGGGTAGGAAATGTCTGATTGTGTTTTCACTACACAGACTAGACCACAGTGGCACGAAAGACATTTAAAAAACACACTACTAATATAATATTAGCTGTTCTTAATTCTAAGGCACCATTCTGGGGATTAGAGACATTGAAGAAATTTCAAGTGTGTGAATAGAAATCAAATTATTTATTACCTTAATCATACATGCAGTAAGCAAAAACTCAAATGAAATAAGCAAATCCTGAGTAATATCCTATTGATGATCAATCAAGAGATACTGGAACTAATCCTGAGAAGTGATAAAAAGTCATAATTTCCATTTACTTCAATGGGATTTGCAGAGTCTCAAAAGCTTTCCAGGATGAAGCCATTAATTAGTCTGATCATGAACCAGTGAAAATAATGGAAACTTTGCCATTTATTTAAATGAAAGCAGACTTAGCCCCAAATGTATGCATCTTTTAAATAGTCTTTAGATACACATAGTATACTGGGAAATGCATCAAATTAACTGAGGAATTTAAACTTACTTGGCAGCATGGAAGAGACTGGATGTAACAGAGCCAAAGTTAAGGATACAAGCCATAAAAATCTGACAGGTAATTATGTATCAAAAATAATTTATTGGAGGATTAAGCAAACTGAATTTTTATTTAAATACTAGTTCCAAAGATAACATTTACACAGAGGCAAAACTAATCTGATAAGTGTAAATGCTAGTTTTTGTTTGTTTGTTTTGTTTTAAATAAACCTAAGGGTGAAATAAAATTCAATATATCCAACTATGAAAGAGCTGACAAAACTAGATTACATACATTTATTTAAAGACTTTTGGTTACTACATTGTGTTAGACAGCATAATGTTAGCTAATCTTTTAGCAGTATGTTTAATGTGTAGCATCCATTTCTAGGCACTGCATGGCAAAAACCATACAAATTATTAACTAAAAAAATTAGCACACATATTCCCTAAGGGAGATTTCTTCAACTTAAAAGCCATGTTACAAACTAAAAAGAGGAGATCCCATCTAAGTTATCTACTTGCAGCAAAAAAAAAAAAAAAACACCACAAACAAGAAAATCCCTCAAAAAGTAAAAATGTCAAGGAAATCTAAGGACTAAATCCAGTAACAGAAAGCAAACACTGGAATCTGTTAATATGATTGTTATTCAAATAAATAAATAAAAAATAAATAATATGTGCTGAGTGGTATCTGGGCACCCCAATCATAGATCAGGGCCCCACTGTGCTAGTGACTGGCCAAACAAAATAAGAAGATGGTTCCTGCTCCGTAGGGCTTCTTATTTTTCATTCACCAGATTGTTTTCTTGGGGGCTTGAATTCTTTCTTTAAAATGAATTTTGGAAGTTGGCTAAGAAACCTTTTAATATTTAGTCTGCGTTTGTCTCTTACATCTTTCCACACCACCCCCTCCCTTAGTCCAGTTCTGATTGCTAAACAGTTATTCAATTCCTTAAATACTGAACTAACCATCACTGAAAAGATACGCTCTATTATTTGCATGTGCTTCAGCTTCCCTCAAATAGGCGTCCTTTGCCTGGTCAAACTGTTTGGCATTCTTAAAAGCAACACCTACAAAGAAGAAGAATGAAAGAAAACAAAGTGTTTATGTTTTGCCATTTCCCTTCTTTCATCTATTGTTCAAGACACACAAGGCCAGATTTTTAAAAGGTATTTAGCCACCTAAAAAATGCAAATGGGCATGTAGTGGGATTTTCAAATGGGAGGTGGCTGCCTAGACCCCTTTGAAAATCCCACTAGGCGCCTATCTGCATCTTTTGGTCCCTATATCTTTAAAAATCTGCCCCATAATGAAAGTATTTAATTACATTTTTTATCAATTTATTATACTTTATATCAAGGCTCATAAGAATCATTCTTAAATTATTAGTACTTTCTCCCTCTATACAATGTAGGCTACTTGGATTTTCACTATAGTCAGCCCCTCTTCTCAGCTGAATACCTGCACTTCAGTATCCTTTCCATTCACTAACCAGGAACGATGCCAAATAAGTTTAAGGTTCTAAAACATTAGAAGTGATGTCTCATTGCAGTTTCCCTTCTAAATCAAGATCCTCATCAACAACAAAGTGCACCTGCAATAAATACCAGCCTTCATAATTAGTTCTGGGCACATTACAATATAAAGAAACCTAACTAACCAGCTAATGTGTACTTATTTAGTCAGGATTTTAAAAATCAGAGCAGACTCAACTCAACTCCACAACTGGGGAGCGCACGAACGCACCCACACGCATCCTTTTTTCCCCCCAGCTGCTATTGATGACTTACGAAAACAAAACCAAGAATTTAATATCTAAGTGAGTGACTGCGACTATAAAGTGTAATAGGCCAGAAAGATATACTGCAGATGCTATTAGTGGATGAAATAGATTTTGGAAGGAGGATAGCGTGATTAGACAAAAATTAATCAAACAGAATTGGGCTGCTACATTTTATATTAGTGTGACACTTTCTGGAATACATGCAAATAGGGAGCAGAAATCCTCAAGACTTAAGATGTCAAAAACATTCAGTAGAATTTCTGCTCAGAATCTTACTGAAAAAGAGTCAATACTGAGAGATTTAAATTCAACAATATAAAACTCAAGACAGAACACTGAGATAGTTGTCAAAAATAAATCTGAAGCATGAGCGAGCACCAAAATTTGTTTATTTGAAGATGGTGTTATAAGACCACTGACAAGAGTTCCCAGAGAGCTCAAGGGAAGGGAAGTGGGAGTGGGGGGAAAGAGCGAGAGAGAGGGTAGGAGGGACAGGGGAGAAGGAGAAATGGTGCAAAAAGAGATTTAATTTTACAAAGTTCAGTGGTATCCAAGACAGCAATCAGGCAAAACCAGGATGGCACTGCAATATGAAGGCCAAGACAGATTTAAATATCACCTGCATACAAATGGAAAATTACACCATATAAACACAACTGAATTCTAAGAGCACCATCTGTGTCCAAGGGTTCCAAAAGATTTTTAAGAAATGGAGCAGGGTATGTCAGAGAGCCAGCAGCAAAGCATTAACCTTGAGGATAAGGGGAGAAAGCTATCAGATTCCTCATCAACCTCAACTGAGCAGGAAGAGAGAGAGAGGAATATTTGCCCTTTAAATAGTATGCACCTTCAAAGTATCCAATAGACAAACTTTGCATATGAATTTTCTCTCTCTGTCAAATAAATTAGTATTGAACATATTATAAAGAGGACAAAAATGAATAAAGTCAAGGTCACTTCTGCAGAGGTTTCCACTATTTGCCTCTATACAGCATTAGGAGTTTCCCTTCCTCACTCAAAGTCTAATTCTTTTGCCACTCCTGGCATGGAGCTCCCACTGAAGACAACAGGGATTCCCATGCAGAGTGGACAGGAGCATGCGCGCACACACAAATCAAGCCCCTATTTACAAGGGGGAAAAAAGAGTCTAACTATGCCTCACAATAAAAGCTTTTCAATTTTATTCAAAAGTCCGTTTAACTCTGTGTTCAACCATATTTGCAAGTAAGATATTTAAAATTGTAATTTGCACTGAGATTCAGTTTACATGTTATGAGTTCTATTAATTTCAAATAAATATTTAAAACACAAGTGCAATTTGAAATGTAGTAAATTAGAAAGATTTGGTTCTTTATTTTATTCCCTGCCCTCACAACCATCTACAGATTTACAGACAATGTTTTAAAATGACGACATCTAAAATATTATTTAAGATTAAATTACCGGATTATTTAAACCTATAAAATGCATTCCCATCTATAGTCATACATACCTGCCTTTCCATATTCAGTAGCTGCACTGTCATAGTCTGGTTTCCACTTTAAGAATCCAGTTTTCAGGCTGAAATGCAAAATCAAAAGCCCATCATCAATAATGGTTGAAACAAGAACCTGTTCTTCCTGCTCTCAACATATATAGTTTTGTTTCTGTTGTTTTAGGAAGTGGCAATGTGGGAGGAAGAGGGGGCAGGCCCGCAAGGGGCCACTGTCTCCCATCCCCTTTGAGGGATGTGAGATACAGAGAAATGGCAGAGAACTGCCAGATACTATGGGTTGGTAAGTAAGGAACAACAAATTGGGCCCCACTGGTCCATCCGGATCAGACCAGGAGCAGATGTTTAGACAATTTTGGACATTCTGTAATTTCTCCCTCTCTTTTCAGGATAAGCCTCAAATTATTTCTGCTGAGTGGGGAGTTTGGAAGGAAAGCACTTGTATTTAGCAATAGTGGGAAAAATTGTTTCAGAATGGAGGTTTTGGAATTAAAAGTTAACTATCACGTATTGTACTTCTGACTGTTTATATTGTCTATCTACAGCAGTGGTTTTTAACCCTTTTTCATTTGTGGACCCCTACAAAGTTTTGAATGGAAGTGTGGAGCCCTTTGGAAATCTTAGACGCTGCCTGCAGACCCCCAGAGACCACAGGTTGAAAACCACTGGTCTACAGTGTTTGTCTCTCTTGTCTACTTAAATCACAACCTCTTTGGAACAATGATTACATCTAATACATTTATACTGTTCTCAACACAACAGTACCAATCTTGCTTGGTAGCCTTCTGGTAACATCACCCTATATACAAACAAACAACAAAAGTAGCTATATGTAAATGATTTGCTTTCAAAATAAGTTTGCTGTGAGCACAGCTTCACTGAAACTGCTTGAACAAAAGCCAGGCACAAGTTTCCCACCTCATCTCTTTTCAGTTTTTATAACTGATGCATTTCTCCTTCATCTTAGTTCTCCCATTCACCTGTCTCGGCTTCCCTTTTCTCTCTATCAGCCTCCTAGTGTCTGTCTCAAAGTCTTGGGGAGTGGAAGAGGCTTCCCCTAGTGTGAGCAGTCATTCCAGCGGAGGGGCCTGTCACTGCCCCCATCTAGAGTTAGGGGAACTCTGAGAGCTCAGGACCCCGCTATCCACACAAGGTATTTCTGTGACCACACTCCCCACGGTTAATGGGGCTGTTCTCACAGCACCCTGTGTGACAGGTGGGGAGCTAAGGCAGAGACAAGCGACTTGCCCACGGTCACACTGGGAGTTTGTGGTGGAGGAGCAGGGCCCATGAGCCCCAGGCTGGTGCCCCCGCACCCTTCCTGGTGGCCACCCCACCCGCTGCCAGGCTCCCGGGGGCCTCCAGCTCTCCTCACGTTGGAACCCCCCAGTCCCTCTAACCGCCCTTCCCCCCGCGGCTCCCGGCCCGCGCACGGCACTCTGGGAGCTGTAGTTCTCCCGGCGGGGGAAGGCGCGCTGGGCTGAGCTCCCAAGGCGCCCGGGAGGTTGGGGCCGATGACAGCCCGGAGCCACGGGGAACCCGGCGGAAGCGGCTGCTCGGCGAACGCCCGGCGCCCTGAACCCCGCCCGTCCCCCTCCTCGACCCTCTCCCAGGAGCGAGCGGCGCAGCCACTCTCCAGCCCGGACACAGCCCGGCCCGCGGCCTCCTCGGGACCCTGGGCAGAGACAGCCCGGCTTGACCCCGGCCTCCCGCGCCGCGCCGCACTCACTATTTCTCCGCCTTGGCGACGTGCTCAAGCGCCTCGTTGATCTTCTGCGCCGCCATCTCGCTGCTCTGTACCTGACAGGAACCGCCGCCGCCGCCGCTGCGTCAGGAAAAGAGGGACAGGCTACGGAAAGCCGTAAGGGCTCATCAGCATACGTAGGGGGCGGGGGCTGATGCTACACGCCTGCGCGGGTAGGGGACGGAGTCGATAAGGGGGCGTGGCTACTGTTTTTTTCAGGCGGCGGACGGCCGGCAGCGGCACGGGGAGAGGACAGTTGGAGAGAGAGCTGCGCGCGCAGACCCGGCCCACAGGCGTGAGGGCGCGCGGCCCACGTGTTGCAGCAGGGTCCCTGCGAGGCTGTGTTGAGAGCCTGTCGTTGACCCCGGGGCAGAATAGGGGGCCGCTTTACCCGGTCGCCGCTGGCAGGGACATGGGCAGCGGTGTCAGGGACATGGGCAGTGCTGCGGCTCTCTGGTCTGCCCAGCTCACCTGGCCCTTCCCAGCTCTCCCCTTGTCTCTTATGGCCTCCGCCCTGTCTGGCCTCATCCCCCTTTGGCCGCCTCTCCCATAGCTGTCTTCGCCCAGGCAGGGTTCCCAGACCTGCTGGGTGAGTGGTGCTCCCTTTCCTTTGGCCAGCCCCTCTCAAGTCCCCCCTTCTGCCGGGTGCCTCTGGCCGCACAGCAGGATAACTTCTGACCACTCCAAGGAACAGCTGATGCTGGAAAAGCCAGCTGCAGGGAATCCAAGAGGAGCCTTGGCTTGTGCCGGCTCTGCCTAGCCCCTTATCTTCCATTTCAGGGCAGGCAGGGGAGCTCAGTTGCCAGGGTGGTACCTGCCCCTTCCTCAGAAGCCTGGCATAGCAGAGAAGGACACAAAGCTAATGTCAAAACCTACCTTCTTGTCATTTATAAAACATAACTTTTCCCCCTCCTTATTGTGTGTTTAATTTCCACAGGGCTTTTGCCTGGAAAACAAGACCGAAAAAACCCAATCAACCCCCAAAACAATGTAGTTGGGAGTCAGTGGCCATGTCTCTCTCACAAGCAGACTGCCCTGCCATGTCCTTACTGTACTAGGGTGACATCAGCAAGCCAGGTGTTGCCTGACCATGCCCTCCTCAGCTCTGAAGTCTAAAATCAGTTAGCAGATATATAGCAAGGCTACCTGCTGTCCAGCCAGGCCCCAGTAAAGTATTTACTTCTTGACAGGGCTCCACAGATATTCAACCCCCTTCATTTCCCACCCTCCCAACTCTTTCCCCTAAGTCAGACACACGCTAGAGTAAAGGAAATAGAATGGATGGAGCCACGATTAAAAGCCCAGAGAGATGGTCACTCTCCAGACCTGCACCTGGATCATTGCTGTCTCTGGAACCTAGAGGAAAACAGGAGAGAAAAACTATATAGCAACAAAACAAAGAGTAGGTCAGGATTCAAAATATCCCATCACACGATAAGGGTCAATTAATACCCAGAAGTATTATAAGAGTCAGAATCCACTGACTGTAGTGATGGTTATTATATTAAAGGTTATAAGCTAGTGGGTCATCCTGCACACAACATCCTCAAAGGTTAGGACTTTCTTACAAGCATTAGCTGGTAGCATCCGTATAGTGGGTTCTGGGTGGCAAGATTCCTGTAGCAGAGAATGACCCAAGAAATGTCTCCTCTCCCTAGCTATGGCAGTCAGGACAGAATTTGGTCCTAAAAGTATGACCTATTCTAGTTACTGTGCTTTTCAACAAATGTGTGTGCTTGTAAGGAAGTGAATTAATGGAAATGAGAAATACAGAGCTGCTGTTTTGTAGGCATAAAATAACCCAAAATATTTGTGAAGTACCCGACCCCTACTTTTTTTTTTTTTTAGTTTTCCAACACTGTTCTGTTCTCTGGTTATAAAAAGCTGATCAATTCCAAAAGAAATTACTTACGTGCACTGTCTGGTGATGCATTTACTGGAATGACCAGGCTAAAGATTTCCAAGGATAGTATTTAATGAAACAGGATATTCCTGGGTAACTTTTATTGTATAGACCCAGAAGCTATAAGATGGAGTTGTTGCTCTTCAGTGGATTTTACATCTGGGAATGCTCATATCACAATCTCTGATGGTGAGCTGTATATTATTAACTTGTTTAAAAATGGCCAGGTTCTCTATGAAAAAATGTACATTTGCTGTAATATAGGAAATAACAAACTATAGTCTCACACATTCCATTTAACTTAATGTAGATACAATTAGACCTTCTGTTAGATCTTGTTAGTTGTAGAACATTATTGCTAATACACCAGTAAAACTTGTTTCCTGCCTAACTCTCTTTCCCCTTGGATATACGTGTCACAAACTGATCCAGTCCCACTCTCTGACCAGACACCGGTCTGTCACAGTTGGATCTACACACTGAATCCCACCATATACTCCTTAGCTCCAATGGGTCTGGGTAGTGACTGGTCACTGTTCATACCTCTGGGTATTACACTCCAGTAAAACACCTGTGGCTGGCCCATGTCAGCTGATTCAGGATATGGATACACTACAACTTAAGTCGACATAAATTATGTCACTCAGAGGTGTGAATAAGCACTTATGTGGACAACGCTATGTCAGTGGGAGAGCTCCCGCTGACATAGCTGCCGCCACTCACTGTGAGTGGATTAATTAAGTCAACAGGAGAGCTCTCGAGCATAAGTTTACAGCGGCATTTCAGGTTGTGAAACATACTTTTGGCTTAGAGAGCATACCTCTTTTTAAATGGCCTCTGACTGGGGCACTGGAACGGAGGGACCAGGGGGCCCATAGCCCCCCAACTTATTACTGGCAGTAAGGGCAAGCAATGGGAGGAGTGATCAGGGGGTGGGGTCTTGAGGGAAACAGGCAGTGCGGGAGCAGAGCTTTGGGGGAAGGGGTAGTGCAAGACTGGGACCTCAGGGGAAAGGAGTAGAGCCACAATTTGGGTGCTGTGGCCCCCTCCCGCCCCCGCTTTTAGGAAGCTTCTGTCACCCCTGCCTCTGACTCCTTTTCTTCCCCGTGCTTCCACTGGGGAGTTTCTAGGTACCATCACCCCTTGCTCCCTGGGCAGAGAATTGTTCAAAGTCAATGGCCCTGCTGGTAGCAAATCCATTCTCCATTGGGGTAGAACCATTTGCTCTTGCTTCACAGGCATAGTTTTTCCATTAGGTGTCAAGTTCCTGCTACAACAATGCTTAAAGTCACACTAAAAGTTACATTGAAAATGGAGTTTGAAATATAACATGGCAATCACAAAACCAAAATAGAATTCATAAGTTGACACAGACATAATCCTTAAACTGTCAGAGGGTACTCAAAATGAATAGTGCTTTAAATGGATCCTGGAACAGATGCAGGAAAAAGAAAGTTGTCAAGGCT